AGCCCCGCCTCGGTCCATCCCCAAGCCCCCCCGGGCCCGTCCCCGCGTCCCGCACCCCCCCGCCGACCCCGATGAGGTGGATCCGGTCGAGGCTGAAGTTGGGCACGATCGTCACCAGCTCCTTCTCGGCCAGGAACTCGGCCTCGGCCGGCTCCATACCGCCGCTGGGGCGGGGGCCCAGGCCGGCACCGAACCGGCACCGGCACCGAACCGGAACCGGAACCGGGATCGGGCCCGCCGCGCGCGCGCCCTCCCCATTGGCTGAGCAGCGGCGAGGCCCCGCCCCCAGCTTCCCCGCTTCCCGCCGCCGGGCGCGTTTTCGCGGCCTCCGCTTGGGGGCGGGGCCTGGAGCGGCTCGGCGCACTTTGATTGGTTTTCCCATGGGCGGTCACTGGTCGGCCATTGGCCAGCATGGCGCACCCGTTTCTGATTGGCTGTCCGACTGGCGCCGCGCTCCGGGCTGTGGGAGGGGAATCGCAGAGGGACCAATCCCGGTGAGCCCAGGGTGCGCTCGGCCAATCAGCGCTCAGCACTTGTTGCCGGGTCGCCCGGAGCGCTCCCGCCCTCTACTTATCTGCGCGGCGCCCGCCGCTGGCGCCGCCTGGCGGCCGTGAGGGGCAGCACCCCCCGGGGACACCGCGTAGGGACCCCGGGGCCGTGGGTGGGTCCCCCGGGGGTGCCCTCAGCCCGGGGCGCCCTGGAGCGGCCCGAGGACCTCAGCCCCGCCTGTGCAGCCTCTCTCCTCTGTGTGCGTCACTGCGGTTGTCCCTGGGCAGCCACCCGTGCTCAGGCACTCGCCGTCACCCATCCGCCCCCTCCTTCCATTCGTCAGCACGTCCATCCTTCCATCCAGCCACCCACCCATCCATCCGTGCCTCCACCCCCCCACCCACTCATCCATCCACTCACCATTCCATCCACCTATTCATCTATCCACTCTTCTGTGCCTCATCCATCCATCCATCCATCCATCCATCCATCTATGCCTCCATCCACCCAATCACCAGTTCATTCACCCATGTCTCCACCCACCCATCCATACATGCACTCAGTCATACATCCAGCCTTTCATTCACCCACCCATCCATGTCTTCACCCACCCATCAGTCCACCTGCCCATCCATCCCTCTGTGCCTCCATGCATCCAACCACTCAATCACCAACTCATTCACCCATCTGCATCTCCACCCATCTGTGCCTCCATCCATTCACCCACACATTCATCCATCCACTCAGTCATACATCCACCCTTCCATTCCCCTACCCATCCATGTCTTCACCCATCCATCCACGTCTTCACCTACCCATCAATCCACCTGCCCATCCACACCTCCATCCATCCATCCATCCACCCATCCATCCATCCAATCACCAATTCATCCACCCATCTGTGTCTCCACCCTTCCATCCACACATCCATCCATCCATCCACCCACCCACCCATCCATCCATACACTCAGTCATACATCTACCCTTCCATTCACATCTTCACCCATCCATCCACGTCTTCACTGACCCATCAATCCCCCCGCCCATCCATAGCTCCATCCATGGCTCCATCCATCCTCTATCCACTCATCCCTGCCTCAGAGCAGCAATCGGCCCTCATCTTGCTGTCTCTCCATGCACCACATCATCCATCCCTCCACCCCAACCCCTGGGAACCCCCCACCCGCCCTCCCCGGGGGCTGCAGGAGGAGGGTCCCACCGCCCCCCCAACCCGTTAACCACGCAGCCCCCGCGGTGCCACCGGCACAAGCTGCGGCTCCGCCGGCCGCTCTATAAACGGCTCTGCCACGCTGCGACTCCGCTCGCATGTCTTTTGCCATCTGCTGCTGTCATTAAAAAATTAAATTTCCATCTGCTTTCACACTCCCGCCTCTCCCGACGGCTCCCGGTGCCGCCGCTCCCCCCGGGGAAGCATCGCCCCCGGTTCCCTCCCCGGGATGGGGCCGATCCGGCGGGGCGGCAGGCGATGCCAGGTTCATTTTTCCCCGTCCCGTTTGCAACCAGTTTCTTCACTCCAGGTGGAGAGGTGGGAGCTGGTGGGGTGCCCCCCACCTGGTGCCCCCCATCCGGCACAGGGTCAGCTTCGGGGTGTTTTTTGGGGGGAGAACCCACCCACCGTTCCCCAGACACAGCTCAGGGGAGGTCCTGGGGTGCTGGGTCCGGCCGATGCACATCCCGGTGGCGGCATCTTCATCCCGACGGAGCGAGGGGGGATGGATCCCACTGTCCCCCCGCTCAGCACTGGCTGCAGGGCGGTGACCCCCCCACGCGCCGGGACTCCCTGGAGAGCGTGGTCCCCGTGGGTGTGGGCGGTGTGACGATGATGGAGGGCACGTGGAGGTGCTTCCCGCCCACCCATCCATGTCTTCACCCATCCATCCACGTCTTCACCTACCCATCAATCCACCTGCCCATCCACACCTCCATCCATCCATCCATCCATCCATCCAATCACCAATTCATCCACCCATCTGTGTCTCCACACTTCCATCCATCCATCCATCCACCCACCCATCCATCCATCCATCCAATCACCAATTCATCCACCCATCTGTGTCTCCACCCTTCCATCCACACATCCATCCATCCATCCACCCACCCACCCATCCATCCATACACTCAGTCATACATCTACCCTTCCATTCACATCTTCACCCATCCATCCACGTCTTCACTGACCCATCAATCCCCCCGCCCATCCATAGCTCCATCCATGGCTCCATCCATCCTCTATCCACTCATCCCTGCCTCAGAGCAGCAATCGGCCCTCATCTTGCTGTCTCTCCATGCACCACATCATCCATCCCTCCACCCCAACCCCTGGGAACCCCCCACCCGCCCTCCCCGGGGGCTGCAGGAGGAGGGTCCCACCGCCCCCCCAACCCGTTAACCACGCAGCCCCCGCGGTGCCACCGGCACAAGCTGCGGCTCCGCCGGCCGCTCTATAAACGGCTCTGCCACGCTGCGACTCCGCTCGCATGTCTTTTGCCATCTGCTGCTGTCATTAAAAAATTAAATTTCCATCTGCTTTCACACTCCCGCCTCTCCCGACGGCTCCCGGTGCCGCCGCTCCCCCCGGGGAAGCATCGCCCCCGGTTCCCTCCCCGGGATGGGGCCGATCCGGCGGGGCGGCAGGCGATGCCAGGTTCATTTTTCCCCGTCCCGTTTGCAACCAGTTTCTTCACTCCAGGTGGAGAGGTGGGAGCTGGTGGGGTGCCCCCCACCTGGTGCCCCCCATCCGGCACAGGGTCAGCTTCGGGGTGTTTTTTGGGGGGAGAACCCACCCACCGTTCCCCAGACACAGCTCAGGGGAGGTCCTGGGGTGCTGGGTCCGGCCGATGCACATCCCGGTGGCGGCGTCTTCATCCCGGCGGAGCGAGGGGGGATGGATCCCACCCGTCCCCCCGCTCAGCACTGGCTGCAGGGCGGTGACCCCCCCACGCGCCGGGACTCCCTGGAGAGCGTGGTCCCCGTGGGTGTGGGCGGTGTGACGATGATGGAGGGCACGTGGAGGTGCTTCCCGCCCGAGGATGCCGCCGGGGTCCCGCTGCTGCCGTTCCCACTGCTCACACAGGTCTTCAAGCCTGCAAGAAATTGGGGGGGGGTGTGACAACACCAAAATGGGGGGGGGAAGAAGACCAGGTGTGGGGCTCCAGCATTTCCCACCTCCATACCCTCCTCCAGACCTCCGTGTCCAACTCAACCCCTTAGGAGCCACCAGAGAATCCACACCCACCCCATCCCTATCAGCTGGGGGTGGCCTCACACCTCCTCCCCACCCCAGATTTTGGGGTGTGCGGTAGAGGTGGAGACCGTAGTGCCCTCCCCACTTCCCGACCGCCTGCCCCCCCCTGCTTTTCCACCCCCCCCGGGGAGCAGATAGCTTTAATCTGCTTTTTTAATCAGGAGAAAAGCCCCCGCGCGGCGCAGGCAGCAGCCAGGGAGGTTTCAGCTCTTCCCAAGCAGGAAAATACCCGGAGGGGACAGACACTGATATTTTTAATCTCTTTTTAATTAAGGATAAAGCCCTGCCTTACATAAGGGAGCTGGAAAAACAGTGGGGAGGGGGGGTCTTTTATTTCATTGCAGACTCCAAGCTCGTCTGGAGGCACAGGGGGATATTTTGGGGCTCTGAACCCAAATTTGGGATTTGGATTTGGGCATTTGGGGTGGGATGGGGATGCCTTGGCTGCCTCAGTTTCCCCTCTCCAGTCACCCCATGTTGGGCTGGGGGGGAGGTCTGTGAGACCCCCCAACCCCACACCACCACCCTCATCCACAGCATCCCCGAAACGGGGTTGGGGGGGAAAACGAGGCTTATTTTTGGGGCGAGGCATCCCAAACCATGCCCTTCCCCAACCCACAAGAGGGTTTGTGCTTGGGAAAAGGCAGCGAAGAAGCGGCTTCGGCATCTTGGAGAGGGAGGCCCGTTAGCTCCCATCCCTAACGAACCCCAGGATGATTAATACAAGCTGCTCGGAGCGGGGGGGTCTAATGGGAGATGCCTTCACCCAGCATGACGAGGCCAAGGAGCATTAAAAGCTCCCTCTTCCCTCTCTCTGCAGACATCGCTGCCGCCATCCCCATTAAGAAAGTGAAAGTTGGGAGGGGGGGGAGGAAAGAGCAGGATAGAAAGCTCCTGGGGTGGAATATCCCTGGGGAGAGCAGAGTAAGGAAGGGTGAAGGATGCTCGGGGTCAGCCCGGAGGCCGGGAGCCGGGGCACCCCGGCTCCCGGCCTCCGGGCTGACCCCGAGCATCCTTCACCCTTCCTTACTCTGCTCTCCCCAGGGATATTCCACCCCAGGAGCTTTCTATCCTGCTCTTTCCTCCCCCCCCTCCCAACTTTCACTTTCTTAATGGGGATGGCGGCAGCGATGTCTGCAGAGAGAGGGAAGAGGGAGCTTTTAATGCTCCTTGGCCTCGTCATGCTGGGTGAAGGCATCTCCCATTAGACCCCCCCGCTCCGAGCAGCTTGTATTAATCATCCTGGGGTTCGTTAGGGATGGGAGCTAACGGGCCTCCCTCTCCAAGATGCCGAAGCCGCTTCTTCGCTGCCTTTTCCCAAGCACAAACCCTCTTGTGGGTTGGGGAAGGGCATGGTTTGGGATGCCTCGCCCCAAAAATAAGCCTCGTTTTCCCCCCCAACCCCGTTTCGGGGATGCTGTGGATGAGGGTGGTGGTTATATATATATATATATATATATTTCTATAAGTCCC